AGCAGGAGCAGGTGCAGGAGCAGGAACAGCAGCAGCAGCAGCAGCAGAGTAGAGTAGGGTAGCTTACAGTAGAGCAGAGGAGGAACCAGCTCCAGATTAGAGGGTCCGGGTGTTTCTTGTCCGACAGCTCAACGGGTCCTCGGTAATGCCACAGCAGATTTACGGTTCGGACTGAAGCTAGAGACACGGAGATTTTGTTTTAGAGACTTGAGATGGAAAAGGGAAGGGGGGGCTTGAGGCTTGAGGCTTTAAGCACAACCATTCTAAAGACATGGATGCATGCGCAAGCACGGAAAATTGTATTGTGACTGCAAACCAGGCCCACATCATTAATTTTCGGAGCCTACACCGCAAATCGTTCAACTCCGAAGGCACACCACGAACACACTGCCTCTCGATCGCACTCATGGATCTTTGGAGCACCTGAGAGCGACGCGACGACAGTTGCAATTCTTTAGCAGCTCCTTAAACCACCTTCAACCGCTTAAGCGATGTCTTCCCGGTAAACTTTGGTTGCTTCTTTCATGGGGCGAGAGCAAGGCAGTGGAGGGCGAGAGTGTAGAGCTTGGGGCTCAACCCTCATGGGCTGGAGGGATGAACTGGCCCGGGCATTGGAGCTTTGGTTTCTCAAGGACCCGCCAAGCCTCAAATGCATCCGCTCATGTGCCGGATTTGACGCGTGTTCTGCGCATCACTGCTCGCAATGTGTGTCCATCGTCATGTAACGTCAAAGCTAAACAAGGCTGACACACTGCCAGTACCAGGCTCGCAAAAAGTTCTGACATGGAGGCTCTGAAAGTTCCAAAGCTTCGTTGGCTGGCAGCAAAACCTGTTGTATTGCAGCACAAGAGCTTGTCGTGCGCTATTGGCTCCTGTGCAGTTAGGCTCAAGGGAGGGCGCCTTGCCGTCGCAGCTGAGGTCCTTGAGGCACTTCTTCAAGGCGTCCGTGGACTCCTGAGATTGAAGGCTTGGGGTTAAAGAGACTTTAGTACACAAGGGCCCAACAATTTACAGACCCAACTTCTTCTTCTTGTATTCTGGTGAGATGTGGGGATTTGGACCATGGAGTCCGGGCTGGACCTCTGGACAAGGCCTTCTGCCCACAGATCGTGGATACAACTGTCCTCAGGACCGTCAACATCATGATGTTGACCATCGTCGTCATCATCAGCAAGAGCAGCAGCTGCTTCGTCATCGTCACATCATCAAGCTAAACATGAGCCCTCCAGGAAGATAAAGAGAACGAAAGCAGATGTGGCGGGCACCTGCAGGCTGCCAGCAGCTGCATGGCCGATCGAACCCTCCAGCGCCAAGTTGACCTGTGACTAGACATGAAGCCTTACTGGAATCTGTCGGAGAGCTGGGAGCTTTCAGGCCGAAGAACAGCTCCCGAGCTCAAAACCGTGACAGAAGAAGGCATAAGAATGCCTTACAGATGCGCAAAGTCACCCAAACGTCCGCGACTACGAAAGAAGCACGATTGCCTTGCTCACGAGCCGGTCCACCGCAGCGTCGAGTTCGTGAACTGCCGCCTCCTGAAGCTCCGTTTCCTGGTTCCCTGCTATACCAAACTTCAGATTCAAACTTGGCTTCAAGTTGGGGGTGTGAGGTTTCAGGACTCGCGAAGGGTTAAAGGTGGGTTTAAAGACTCGGCTAGAAAGGGTTGTCGAGGGGAAAAAGGCTGTCGAAAGGAAGTTGGGATGTCGGCCCTTTAGGCCGAAAAACTATTGCGTAGGGCTTCGAATCACAAACGATTGAAAGCCATCTGCTCCCAGCAGTCAGCTGTCGATCCTCACCGTATTTTTGTTAAACAACCGTCAGTGTTCGCGTGCCCCATCCTACCGCCCGCCACGTTCATTCCTTTTTATAGCGACAGTCCCGGGTTTTAACCCCACGGGTTGCCCTTCCCGGGCCTTCTTGGGAGGCCGGGGATGGGACTTACAGCTCAACCGCCATAACCCGGGCTTTCCCGTGGGGGCACCTCCTGTCTTCTCCTCGCCTCCTCCTTCTTCCCTCCTTCTTCCTTCTTCTCGCCCTTTGGCTATTGCCGCTTTCGGCTTCCCTGCTCCGTACCTGATCCCGTGAGGGGGAAAGGGCGGGAACCCGTAGCCACCTCCCCCTGGAGGGTCCTACTGGGAGCCCCTCGACCCACAGCTCGGACGGACCAAGCATCATCTAAACCCTGCCTCCATGCAGCAAACACTCGGTTGTTATTTAATTCCGCATTGACATGGTTAGAGCCGGGTGCTCGGGCATCTTATCGCCCAAGTCTACGTGTCTAGGGAGTATGAACTAATACCATGATACTAACACATACTATTGTAGCTCCTTGCTCCTGCCGGACTCAGTGGCTGTGGTGCTGGAGTCCTCGGCAGCTCCGACCCTACAACCGGGGGAAAGAAGTGTGCGGGGTGCAAGACAGGACAACAGTACAGCACTCTCCTGCAAGCACAAACCGCTTTAATGGCTTCGTAGGTGAAACGTTACTAAGAAATGCTCGAACTCGGACCTGGGAACCCACCAACAAAACCCCGAGTTCGCAACCAAAACCCTGAAACCCTACGAGCACGAAATGTGCAAGCCAAACTTTGCACTGCACTGAAGGACCTGTGAGATCTGCCGAGGCCGCGCCGGCGACGGCGATTGTGCGCTTGCCTGACTTCTCTGTGAACCAACCAACACCGTCAAGGGATAGGCATGGCTCATAGGTTCGAACGGTTCGAAGCCTGAATCCGAACCGTCGGATTTGAAAGTAGATCTAGGACCTAAGAGCCTAAATCACGGCCTCTTGGGTCGTCAAGGGCCGAAGGCATCGAATTGCAGGCACATGCCGCCCTAGTTATGCTGTTGAGTTGAACTGAATCTGAAAGTCATGGGCCTACAGTCTTGGTGGCTAGGAGGCCTTGCAAAGTTTACCGACCCGTTAGGGCATTAGAGCTACGTAGTGTTTTTTCCTGCAATGCTCAGGGCTCAGAAGCTCTGCCGGCGACAAGCCTGCAGTGGAACTTCCAAAGCAACTTCCAAGGGGCCCAATGGGCCAGTGCATAATTACGCAAAATGGACCTATCCCCCGTTTGTATCTTGCTGTCCCATGCCATGCTTATTTCCCTCCTTTGTGTGTGCATGCATGTGTGCTATGATCTTGGCCATGGTGGGAGTTCCGACTTTGGTTGCCGTGGCAGCAAAAGACTGTCGAGCACGGCGCCTGCGTCTGATGCTCCGACACGCTGGCCAGGGTCTGGCAGACGTGTTGCTGCGCATGTGCTTGGGCTTGAAGGTAATGGGCACACGTCGTCCAAAGTGAATGAAAGACGGAAACTACACCAACTCCCTCAACCGGCAACCCAGCTGCCTGAGCTCTGTGCCCCGGCCGTCGCCGCAAAGGCCCAGAGCCCTGTCTCAGCACCATAAAAATAAAAAATAAAAAAAAACAACTTGCATTCGATGCCAGGGTTTCGAGTTTGGGGTGCGCCTGTGGAGGCTTTGGGAAAACGGTTATTGCCAAACTAGGTTCCTGGTTTGGTGTAATTTTCCTTGACCTCCTTGAGAATTCCATGTAGGGCGTCGCACATCCGTCTCAAGACTTGGCCTGCAGGATGCCTAGGCCTGGAATCTCGATGGGAAGCTTAAAGGAAAGCCTACCAACTGAATTGAAGGAACCGGAGACTCCAAACTCTCAGCTATCGAATCAAGAATCAATCTGGAAGTTTGCTATTACTCAAGACCACGTCGAACAAACGAACTTGTAAATTCTGCATCGAAACATCCGGAGAGCGCTGTGACGAATCCGGGACGCCACCTGAGGGCCACCCTCCACAGCATCCAGGCGTCCCAGGACTTCTGCCCTGGCACGGTGCAACCCAAGATGCAGGTACGCAACATCTATTGCACAAAATCCGGTAAAGCATCGAGGATGACAACGACGGCGGCGGCAGACCACGGCGACGGTCACTGCCGCTGCCGCTACTCCTGCTCCTGCTGCTGCTGCTCCTGCTGCTCCTCCTGCTCCTGCTAGTCCTCCTCCTCCTCCTCATCCTCCTCCTCGGACTTGCTAGTACCGCCACCACCAAGACCGCCACGACCACCGCCGTCACCGTTATCACGACCGTTACTGACCTTGAATCGAACCTGAATTCTTCGAAGAGGAAATACTCCCGGCGGTGGGAGTCCATGCCGAAGTTTGGCTGGGAGACTATCCACGGCCGAGAAACTGAATCCTCAAGAACTGTGAAGATCTGTGTCAGTTTTTGCTCATGTGTCAAAAACCTGAGCTAACGAGCCCCCAATCACCGATTCCTCGTTTTCGCCAGCCTGAGCTCAGCACAGCGTGCTGCTGTGTCGCCACGGAGGTCGGCCACGATGCGGCCGAGCTGCTGCTCCTGGGATCGGTGATGTTTCATGCAAAGCCTACGGCATAGACAGACCTTGCAAGTTTCAGGTTCGTGTCGCGGTCGGGGGTCGATGTCAATCTTCAGTTTGCGCTTTGGGCTTAGGGCATAGGGATTTGCCATGCGTAAGGTACATAGATGTTGGCAAAAGAATTTCTACCAACTGACAGCAGCAGCCCCAATGGTTATGGACGCCAGGAGCTCGAGATGCTGCCTGGCCAGGTGAGATTGGGTCCTGGTGCTGCTGGCGGTGCTGCTGCTGTTGGCGCTGCTGGAGCTGGTGCGGTGCGCCAGAGAACAGTTTGCCACGGCTTTTCCATTGCCGGCATCAGGCTCCAGCCACCGTTCAATGGGTCATACCACTCCATATCCGCTTGAAGCCTACTTCACAATCTTTGCCCCACCCATGCACTGTCTCAAACCCCTCCAATCAAATCCCCAGGCGCAGACTTCAACCCCTGGAGCCCTGAACCCTCAACAAACCACCCCCATGCCCATAGAGGCGGTCCAGCGCGGCGCGGAGAACTGGCTCCACAGAGCCCAAAAGGTGTTGCATTGACTGGCCGAGGCAAGGCTTCAAGGATCTTCAAGGATCTTCCAGGCTTCAAGGACTTTAAGGTATTGACTCAAAGCTTTGTTGAAGATCTGACGCTGAATGCTTGGGGTTTGGTTCGTTCTCAGAATCAATTGCTACGTGCACCCAAGGCTTCCTGACGCGTCTAAACCTGCTCAAAACGCTCCGAAGCCCTCGTGATGGCAACCACAACAATGGCCTTGTGGAAGACCTCAACCTTGCCTGGGACAGCGGACTGAAATCCTATTGGCGCTTCTTTGAGCAGAGCCTCGGCCTCTCACCAGCTTTTATCACTAGCCCCGAACAAATCCCAGACAACACAAACCATGTTGATCCACAACATCCCTATAAACACATCCGGATATGTTCAGGCCCCTTCAACTCAATCCAACAGCCCCCCACAAACTCTGGAATCTGGCGAAGTCAAGACCTGCGAGCTTTCTCCTTGGGATGATGTCGGAGTGTTGTCCTGCGAAGTTACGGGGTCTGGGATGTTAGGCTTTGGGCATAGTTTTTGTAGTTTCTGCTGGGCTAAGGACTCGGATTTCTAACATAGCATTTTAGGTTTCGGCGTTTGGGGAAGTTCGCCGTGCTGCGCGCCTGTGTGGTTTACAGGCCTCCTCATGGCCGGCCATGCGGGTTCCTCGCCCGGGAGATCTGACTGGAACTGGAACCGAGAATGAAACCGAAGCGCCCACGCCTGGAACTCCACCTCCAGCCGAAATCGCAAGAACCAATCGTGTAAGCCCAGCACACCGGTCATCTGAATGAAAAGAGGAAATGACGAAAAATGTAACCACAAGCTTGAGACGTGCCTGCATATGTCTGAATCGCCACACTACTAGTTTGCCCTCCTGGCTGGACATGGACCGCTGCAGATCTGCGATTTGACGGTGCAGCTTCTCCATCTGCCACGTGCAAGAGGGAACTCCAGCGACTTGGCAGTGAAAAATGAGTTCAGCACGTCAAACTGCAGGACTACTTCAGGGCTATCGAAAGTCGAGCTTTTGGACTTCTTGCGGCTTTGGCACGTGATTTCAAGAGAAAGCCTTTCGGGCTGAGGCGGACGGATGAAGGCAACGTGTTCTCTGTTGACAACAAAAGTTTGGACGCTGGGACAGCTTTCCTGCATTCAAGATTCCATGCACTCAGGGCTCCAGTTTCGATTAAACTTGCAACGGCCTCTCTAAACAACCCGAAACAATTCCCACACACTGGAACACGCATCCGCGGAACTGGTGCATCGAGTCCCACAAACCTTATCCCCAATGCCGCCAGCCCAGAAAATGCCTCCGCCCGCTGCTTGGCAGCCATTTGCTCCACAGCCGCCCTTGCTCGCACACCTGATCAGGCATGCGGAAGCTTCGCGTGGACTATTTTAGATTAAGTGGAAAGTTGGACTCTCACATTTTGCAGTTAGCGCGTACAGCTTGCTGTGGTTGGCTTCAGTTTTGTGTATGTGAGCTAGAGTAGCTGGAGTCTGGGCTTCAGCCTCAACCTTCCGCACAATATGCCTGAGGACACACGCGATAATGACACGATCTGCGACTTCTGCCCAGGCGTGACCATTACATCTGAACCAGACGGTCAACGGCATGTGCTTTCCCCCCCTCCGAAAAGTGCGAAGGGCCTTGGATCCTCATAGCTAGCCCAAGAGATCCGAACTCCCCAAACCCAGGGGCTCAAAGTGCCAGGAGAAGTGCCTGCCACGTCACGGGTCTGCTCCAGATGGCACTCCGCAGAGAGGGCCCGGATCTGACGTGATTGGGATTCGCGAGGTTCCGGATCAAGGTGAAAGAGGAACAGTGTCTAAAAATCCGCCCACCCTAAGTTTGAGCTCCAGGGATGCAAAAGGCTAGCCCAGTTCCCGAAGACTACAACAACCCTCGACTGAACTGCGCTCGAGAACCGAACCGGGACCCCAAAAACGGAGTCCATTCTCGTGGCCGAGGGCTGGGATTCCGCGATGGACAGAATCCGAACAAATCTCAGATGCATGACAGAAAATGCCCTGAATACGAGCCCTGCTTCGAGCCTTCAAGCCCAAACCGCAATGTCAAACCCACTCAAACCCTCCAAGCCGACAGCCCATATGCGAGCCAAACTTCAGAGATCCCCAGAACTCAAAGCTCTTCCCCCGAACTCCACCCAGAGATACCTCCCCGGAGAACATGCAGGAACCTACAGCTTGATGTGCAAAGGCTCAAACTTGAGGTGCCTTTGGGTCAAGAGGCTGATGCCCCTTCCACACTCGGATCTTTGGTCGGATTTTCGGCCTGCAAATCACACCACAAGACTCCGCGAGGCCTCTTCGCGAATGGCGAGGATCTGTGCCTGTACGTCCAGTTGTTTGCATAGTTTAGGGACTCGTGGGCCCTGCATCAAGGAGTAAAGATCACAGAAATGGTGATGCAACTCGCCATGTAGAAACCTGCAGTGTCGGTTCGGCTTAAGTTCCAGACTACACACAATAGAGCTCAGTCCCAAGCAGAGCTGCAAGAAGACCACACAGTCCACCATTGTGGCTGAAAGGCTCGATGTATGAGTTAGCCCAATGCTGTACCAGGACACGAAGTCACGAGGCTTTCTTTCAATGCTTTGAACCACCACGGTACCGCAGAACCCTCAGCCTGAAGCACGTTCAGAAAACCTGATACCCATGATCACTCCCAAAAACTTGCGAAACTGGAGAGAAGTATTGGAAAGATATATCTGCTGGTCACATCTCAAATACGGCCACTACTCGGCTGTACAACCGCCTACGAGAACACCCACTCGTGAACCTCCTCCATCGGAACACCAGTATGCAACCCAACAGCATAAGGCTAAGGCATCAAACTAGGCACCTGAAGGCTCGCAGACTGCGGCCCATTGTCCACCTGGCAACGTCACGTATCATGCCCTTCATGAAAGCATCCTAGTGGTCACCATCGCAACGAGGATTTTTGGAAGGGGGTGGTCTGAAATAGGTACCATTTCCGGGGGGGGGGGTGGTTCGTGGGACTCTGCATG